CAAACTATAAACATGATTTTTGAATTGGTGTAAACTAAACACCTTATTTATGAATTTTTCCCAATTCTCAAACCTAATGATGAGCTATATTTAGGGATGACAATTGACCAAACTCGACATGACCTTAGGAACTAGCTTGAGCTCGTTTGGACACGAGCCCAGCCCAAGCTCGGCTAGTGCCCAATATGATGGCTCGATTTGGCCCATAAGCACATGGGACTATGGGTCGAGCCAAGCCAGGCGGCCATGAGCCGCACATCAATTGTTTTTGTTGAAAAAAATTATTTTTTAAAATTCTAGGCCTAGGTCTTTACAATTATGGTGTGGAAAAACAGAAGTTTGGATAGGGAATTTATAGAAATAGAATTCTAAATTTATAAAAAAAGTAAAAACCACCACGAAAAACAGAAGTCGAAAATCTTGAAATAATCGAATATATTGACTTGAATAGTCTTAACTGGGGTGGACAAAAAGAATCTGAACCATTAGAGCCAAACTAGAATAGAACCAAGTTGACTAGTTCAATCCGATTCAATTTAATTTTGAGTATGTTTTCAATTGATTTTGGTTCTTAAAACCTAGAATTGATTGGTTCCAAACCTGAAACCGTGATCTATAAGTCTATAACCATTAGAATCATTTTTAATTTTTTAGGATTCTTTTTAAAAATCAATATTTCCCAATGACCCTAACTAACCATTTCTCAAAAATAAAATAATAATAATAAAATCAATAAATTTAACTCTTTTAAAAAATTTGGTTCTGAAATCGAACTAAATTCAGTTCCAATTTCAGTTAAATTCCAACACTACAAATGGAACCAAATGGTTCCATTATCAAAGAACCATTGATTTTTGGTTCGATTTCGATAATTTCGGGTCTTGTGAAATTGAAATCGAAATCGAAATGAATCACATCCAAACCTAATCTTAGCCCTTGTTTGACACCCATTTTAATGTCATTTTCATTTTTTTCTTTTTTCTTCATTTCAACCACATATTCTCCAAATAAACCTTTGTTTGGGGCGTATTATTCAGGTGGAAAGTAGAAAAAAAAGACCGTTATTTTCAAATGTGGGCCCCAGCTATGAGATAAAGAGCCCGTTTGATTCTCATTATTGTAGAATGAGAATGAAAAATATAGTCGTTATTGAGCTCCACACAAGATATAAAAATTCAAAATTGATGACTTGATGTGATGGATAATGATCATATTTTTCATTTTTATAGATGAAAAATGAGAAACAAATGGGCTCAAAGAGTAAAAAATGATGGTGACAACGGTTGGAATTTTTCTAAATATGTAGAATTAATGATGAACAAATGGGGGCTAAAATAATATTACGTACAATTCTAAAACTTTTCATCACTTTTCCACCACACATTCTCCCATCAATTACTTTTCCAAAAATTATATTATCATTTTAATGAGATTCAAACACACACTAACTGTTTGAATAACTTTTTAATCTCTTACCACTTTTGAAATTTTGAATAACTTTTTAAGAACACTTGAATAATTTGTACATTTTGTATGATCAATTGAGAAAAATTAATCATTTATAATTTTTTAGCACAAATTTGCTGCGTTTCATTATTTAAATTTGGAAAAAATAAAATAGTCTTTTGCGCCTAAACCACGAAAATGTGAACAGTATAAGGGTACTACTAATACTAATACTAAGGCTAATTAGCACAAAACGTCCATACATTTGGGGTTGATTTTGGAAACCATCCTAACCTTTCATTTCTTGTCATTTATATCCTTACCTATTACTTTTCGTGCGCTGAACTCTTTTTCACCATATTTTGATCATTTTACCCTCCATTCAAATAAAACAAAAAGAAAAGAAAAACTAAAGAATTAATTGTAGTCATGCTTCCAAATTTTTAAAAAAGTGCAAATTAGTCCAAAATCATTATCAAAACATTTAAAAAAAAAAATCTCTCTGTCTCTCTCTTCTGGCCTCTTCCTCCTCCGAAAATGACCACCAATCGCCACCAAAGCCGCCAGACATCACCAAAATTGGAACCACCTCATCTCTCTCTACAACCTTCGCCCACCAACTGCCCGTGAATTAGTCGAAAAATGTCTTCACTGCTCTCCCCAACACAACACACGCAGTCACGATTTTTGTCCAAATAACTCCACCTTCGGCCACTTTCTTGATCGTGGACTACCACCACAACACTCTCCTCAACTAGGCGCATCTAGCCCTACCTTGGGTCATCGTCAATCTTGCTCAGAAACGGTTGAATTTATGGGAGTCCTAAGTAAGTTATGTGTAAGTTCGGCCCTGACAAAATCGATGAATTTTTTTTGTTGCAAACACTCAATTTTGCACACAACATCAATTCATGATGGTAATTTAATGGGTCAAACACCAATTGATCCAATTAACAATCCAATTGATGGACTGAAATCGAATTTAACCAAGGCGAGCGAGTAAAATGTTCAGGCTTCAATTGATGATGGTATTGATGTTAATGCTCACAATTCGACCAAATGCATGATGTACAGGTTATTACAGCAGTGGGCAATGATTCAATTGAAGGAATTGAAGGCCAAATGATCTCCAATTGTTCTCCCCAACTAACGGGAACTCCCTTCAAATCTAAATTGATGGCTTGTGAAATGGATGTGTGGGTTAAACTCGCTGGTGGTGAAGGGAGCATTTTCTGGCGATTTAGGCGACGGTGGTTGGTGACCGTAGGGAGGAAGAGCCGAAGAGGCGAGAAGAGAGAGAGAGAGATATTTTTTATTTTTAATATTGTAATAAGGATTTTGGACCAATTTGCACTTTTTAAAAATTTTGGGAGCATGACTGTAATTAATTCTTTAGTTTTTCTTTTCTTTTTTGTTTTATTTGAATGGAGGATAAAATTGTTAAAATATGGTGAATAGGACGTTCAGCGCACGAAAAGTGATAAGTAACGATATAAATGCCAATAAATAAAAGGCGGGGATGATGTCCAAAATCAATTCCAAAGATAGAAACGTTTTGGGCAAATTAGCCTGTAATACTAATAGGGCAAAAACCCCCACTCTCAACCCTTCCAGAAAACCCTTACCCCTCTGTTATTCATTTCCAAATATCAGTCGGATCCAGCGAAAGATCCGATCTTGACCTGAATACTACCATCTCACGCCAACCACACCAAAAATGGCATTGGCGTTCGATGAATATGGTCGGCCGTTCATTATACTAAAAGAGCAGGATCAGAAGACTCGGTTGCGAGGTCTGGATGCGCAGAAGGCCAACATTTCAGCCGGCAAAGCAGTGGCTCGTATCCTCCGGACCTCACTCGGACCCAAAGGCATGGACAAGATGCTCCAGAGCCCCGACGGTGACGTCACCATCAGTATGCTCCCTTTATTTATTTCGGACTTAAGAATTTAATGTATAAAATATGTGTAAATTGACATATAATATTCGTACTTTACTTTAGGAAGATAATGATTTATGATATTGTGCGTCTTGAATAATGATGTTATTCTTTCTATCGTAGCAAATAGAAGCTTGAACTTATTTCCTTAGCGAGATATGTCTATGGATAAGATGAAACTTGCACCAAATTAAACACCAATTTGGTGCAAAAATCCTCTCCAATGATACACTAAAACACCACACCAATTTGGTTTGAAAGTTTTTCATCATTCCTATTTTGCACTTCATTTTATATCACAACACATTTTAATTCCTATTATATCCTTTTATTATTTAATGATTTCCTTTATTTATATTTATTTTAATTTGATTATTATTTTTAATTAACATTTATTTGTAAATTCTAATCAAGTAATGCAATATAAGTGTAAGGCCTTTTTTAATTTATTAATAAATACGATTCATTAAATATAAATTTTAATTCAATAATTTTATTCCATTTTAGTTCATTAAATTTAATTTTTGATTTCATAATTTTAGTAATAATATGATTTTTAATTAAATAATTTCTTGAAATAAATTAATTTTTGAGAAATAAAAAATAAGGAAATAAAGGAAAAACTATTCATTTGGTGTAACCATTGGAGACGACTTTGCAAAATGGTGTGAAAGTCATATCAATTTGGTGTGAAAATTGTACTAATTTGGTGCAAACCACTGGAGATGCTTGCTGTTAACTTTACTTAGGTTTGTTAAAACTTTTGAAGGTGGTGTTTGATGGGTGATGAGATAGCATCAAGAGAAAAGCTTTTAAACAAATAGAAAAAAAACATAGCAGTATGAATATCCTTTTCGGTTGAAGAGGAGGAGTTTTTACCGCTTATCCATACACAATAGACAATATATGAAAGTTCTTAGAGTTGTTTATATGTTTTATAGTAAGTTGCATGAAAAATGGGATTATGCTTGAAGTTTCCAAACTGTTTCCCGTGTGTTGTAGGTAATATTTAAATGATATACATATGTTCTATTTGATAGCTTAAGCTTTTAGATCAAGTGGTTTTACAACTTATATCTCATTTGTGTAAATGTCCTATGTTTTATGTGTTGAAAATGTTCTGAATTTTATCTTACTCGACAGAAGTTTACTCATCGCATCTTCTTGTTTTGTTAGCAAATGATGGTGCAACAATCTTGGAGCAGATGGACGTTGACAATCAGATTGCGAAGCTAATGGTTGAATTATCACGAAGTCAAGACTATGAAATTGGTGATGGAACAACTGGAGTTGTTGTCATGGCTGGTTCCCTTCTAGAACAAGCTGAGAAGTTATTAGAACGTGGTATTCATCCTATCCGGGTCGCGGAAGGATATGAAATGGCTTCTAGGATAGCTTTTCAACATCTGGAGAATGTAGCCGATAAATTCGAATTTGATGCTACAAATATAGAACCTCTGATTCAAACTTGCATGACTACTTTATCATCCAAGATGTAGGTGCCAATTCTTACGCAAAATTTTGATCATGCTTCCCCCCACCCCCATAGTATTGTAGGATGCTCTGCCTCGATTCCTTATCCAACACAGTGTATACACATGTCTATTTGTTCTTTGCTATAATGGGTTATGATATGATTCTAGCACTTGTATATTACCAAATTATTTCTTTTGATTTTCTATAGAATGGCACGTGTTAATATTTCAACTGATTCCTTTTATTATGTACTTGTTTTGATGTCTTCAACGTTATATGCAGTGTTAATCGATGCAAGCGTAGTTTGGCAGAGATTGCTGTCAAAGCAGTGCTAGCTGTTGCTGATTTAGAGAGGAAGGATGTTAACTTAGATCTAATTAAAGTAGAAGGGAAAGTAGGTGGAAAGTTGGAGGATACTGAACTGATATATGGAATTGTTGTCGATAAAGATATGAGCCATCCACAGATGCCAAAGCAAATTGAGGATGCAAAAATTGCTATTTTGACTTGTCCTTTTGAGCCACCAAAGCCAAAGACTAAGCATAAGGTTGACATTGATACAGTGGAAAAATTCCAAACACTACGTCAACAGGAGCAGAAGTACTTTGATGACATGGTTCAAAAATGCAAGGTGAAGGACTCCCATCTCTCTTTTTCCCTTTCCTCATTCTTGTCATCCTCTGGAAGATTGTTTTTTCTATTCTTGGGGATTTTTTCATAGTATATCAAGTCTAGCGATACTTATATGTATATGGTTCTTTGCGTTTTTCTTTACAATCCTTTGGTATTACAGGATGTTGGCGCTACCTTGGTTATCTGCCAGTGGGGTTTTGACGATGAGGCAAATCACTTACTGATGCATAGAAACTTGCCTGCTGTTCGATGGGTTGGTGGTGTTGAGTTAGAGCTGATAGCCATAGCCACAGGTACATAAAATTATTGCAACTTATTGTTAAAGATTTGTCTTTTTTGTACTTCTAATACATTTTTGATTTGTAATTGCCCATGTATCTCTACTTTGGTGTTTAGGTGGGAGGATTGTGCCAAGATTTCAAGAGTTGACCCCAGAAAAACTAGGCAGAGTAATGTTTCCTCTCCGTGAATTCCAGCCTCCTGTTTATTTTTACAATTTACGCATATAATCCAGTTTGCTTTTGCTAGCTACTGTTTTGAGGTTGTAATAAGTTTTATTATTGATGATTGTTTATGCACCCCAGGCTGGTTTGGTTCGAGAAAAAGCATTTGGTACTACTAAAGATCGAATGATATACATTGAGCATTGTGCAAATTCAAGGGCTGTGACCATATTTATACGCGGTGGTAGGTTGATTTTGTCTTATTGCTTCTCTGAGCTTGTTCTTGAAGTTCTTGCATCGTGCTTTTGTGTTGAATAGTATCATAATAGGTTATTTGTGATGAAATAAGACTAGGTAGCTGGTAGAATTGTGATTTTCAAACTACTAGACTAACTGGAAAAAGTGAAAAAAAAAATAAAAAAAATGAAGGGAGGAATGTGAAAGAATTATTCATTGTACATAGAAATTTGAAACAGATTATTGTTCTTGATGATGCATTAGGTAACAAGATGATGATAGAGGAAACCAAACGGAGTCTTCATGATGCTTTATGTGTTGCTCGGAATCTGATTCGCAACAACTCCATAGTATATGGTGGTGGATCAGCTGAGGTTTCTTGCTCAATTGCAGTGGAAGCAGCTGCTGATAAATACCCAGGAGTTGAGCAGGTTAATGCTAATTTCAGTCAGTACTCATATTATTTTTGACTTGCATACTTAAATTTTATTTGTGTCTGCAGTATGCAATCAGGGCATTTGCAGATGCTTTAGATGCAATTCCCATGGCGCTGGCTGAGAATAGTGGTCTCCAACCCATCGAAACTCTTTCTGCCGTTAAATCTCAACAGATTAAGGTAATCTTGACATTGTTGCCACTTCGCTGTGGTTGGAGGACCAAAATAATTTACATTCTCTTTCATTTATACTTTGAGAAAATTGCACCATTGTCCCGGCCTATCCCCAATGGCAAGTTGGTGGTCTTAATGTGGCACCATCAATCCCAATGTGACTGAAATTAAGAATCCGTTCAAATCTTTGTAAAATGCAATGGTGCAATTATCCCCATTCCTTTGTCTTGTCTTATTGATGATTGCAGCTTTCCCTTGTCTCAAATGATTTTGAATTTTTATATGCAGGAAAACAACCACTGCTGTGGTATCGACTGCAATGATATTGGAACAAATGACATGCGCGAGCAAAATGTCATTGAGACGTTGATTGGGAAACAACAGCAGATTCTTCTTGCAACTCAAGTTGTTAAAATGATTCTGAAGATTGATGATGTTATCTCATCATCTGATTATTAAATTATCCAGTATTTTTCTATAAAATTTTGCTTGGTCTAAAAAAATTGCCTGCGCTACACAATTTGAGTCGTCTACATTCCTTTGTGAATTCCTTTTAGAGTGGCTTTGTTTTTGTAATGAATTGTTATGTTTGACAGGTCGATGAACTTGTTTACTCTTAAATTATGCGAGGAATATTGATCATTTTGTTCTCTCTTATGCACAAAATTTTAGTACATGTACCATGAAACTTTTCGAGGGAGGATTTATGCCCAAAAACAAATATTGCAAGTGATAAGAAACCTAGTGGAGTATCTAATATGAGGTCTATAATTCACCAACCACATGCTTTGGATAAGAAAGCCATTAAAAACTCACAAGCCCTTTGGACATCATTTTTCTCAGTTTTCCCCATTGTAGCAAGCACAAAATTGAAGGTAGTTTTGCGCCCGGCAAATCTCTGAGCATTTGGCCAAACGAAACTTAATCACCAATGGCCGCTACCATGACTACGGTGGCTATGATCAATGCCAAGTGCTTCAACACCGATACAAAGGGTACTTTTTACCCTTCCAAGAAATCACTCTCTCTTCTCTCCATGCAAAACCACCCAAGAGGACTCACCACCACCTCAAAGCCATTAGAAGTCTCTGGCCCAGCTGGTACTGCCCTTGCCGGAGTTATTTTCTCAACACTCAGCTCCTCTGATGCTGCCTTTGCTGCCCAACAAATTGCTGATATAGCCGAAGGTGATAACCGGGGGCTCGCCCTTCTGCTACCTATCATTCCAGCCATAGCTTGGGTTCTTTACAACATTCTTCAACCTGCTCTTAACCAGATTAACAAGATGAGGAGTGTCGAAGGGGTGATCATCGGGCTAGGTGGACTTGTGGGCTCAAGTTTCGTGCACCCGCCAGAGTCATCAGCCAGTGAAATTGCCATGATTGCTGACGCTACCGCAAATGACAACAGAGGCCAGCTCTTGCTGTTTGTAGTCATCCCTGCCATTCTTTGGGTGCTATACAACATTTTGCAACCAGCTTTGAACCAGATCAACAGGATGAGATCAGATTGAGAAAGGTTATCGATCTTTTTATGGATTACAAAAACATAGTTTCTGCTTCTAATTTTAGTAGGATTTATCCTGGATAACTGTATATCAAAACCTTGTTATGAACTTTATTATGTATATTTTTTGTTCTTAATATCCTTGTTCTAGTTTGCATATACCATAAAACTTTCAACTAGAATTGCTTTTGTTTAGCTAAAGACACGTTTGGTGAAAACTTTAACTTAAATTTCATGAAGCATACCTCCAAAGAATCGAAAATAAGAGTCGGTTGGTTGGTTGTTTGTTACAGCTTAAATCCTCTACAATTATCTGATCTTTAATGTGAAGAGTAAATGCAGCAACAATCCTAAAAAACAGAGGAAAAACAGAGAGAAGTTCAGAGAAAATTTGGAACTTTCGTTTCTCAATCAGAGCCCTACACTCGTCTATTTTTGACAGCCCTTTGTTTACACAATATTAAAAGCACATTAACTATTAACATAGTCATTCGCAACCACGGATAAAGGATTCCTTGATAAGTAGAGAATTAATATTATTGTAGGCAAACCTGTAAAAGAATACCGTTTGAGTAGCAGATCCAAAAGATCCAAAAGAAAATGACTCAATCCTTGGATAGACCTAGACCATCATCGAATATCTCATAAATAAATCATATAATTAAAAGGATGAATACTTGAATAACTTAGCAAGTGATTATCCCTTCGTCCGTGGATTCCAATGCATAGGCGCTACGCATCAAGAACAGCATCAGGCTAATGGAGGCAAACAACCATTGGATTGAATGTCCCCAGTAAGGTGTACTTGGTGCTTTATATCCAATCCATCCAATTTCACTTTCCACATATTTTTCTGCCGATGTTATGAAAATTGATGGTTTTTCTACATATGCAACTTTTGGAAAAAAAGGTTGATACATACAATGGCACCTGATGGTCCTGATCAGTTAATGTATGGATCTCAGATGAGTAAAAATGTGGCAAGAAAATTTTTCGAGAGTGAAACAATCAACCTTCTGATACTGGAAGACTCGACTCATCGAATTTTCCAATATGGGTTTTATAAAAGAAATTATTTATTCGTCATATTTTGATTGTTAATATGATATACAAGTACAACTGAGGACGGATATTCCTTAAAAATATTTGTTTTTGTGGCTCACCTGACATTGGACATGTATACCTAATACCATTGTGTTTATATTCCACGTACAAACATCAGTACAGCTGATCAATGTACCTGCATCTCAATTTTATTCCAGTTAAAATATTTAGGGATATTTATGTTGAGAATTATAAACCCTAATTCTATTTCACCGGGAGATCAATTTGAAGAAAGAAGAATAAACAACTTAACAATCCCCATGGAGACCTCACTGCGGAGGTCAATCCACGACCAATTCCACGTGTGACAATATTTAGGATCAGTAATAATTAGGCTCCACAACTTAACAATTTGTATCTTTAACAAGTCCTATCGCGTGCAAACGGCAAAATGTCTGATACATAATGAGGAAATCGATATTCGGAATTGAACTTGACTCGGATAATTTAAATTGGTTTTATAACGGCTAGATGAACATGTTTTCACTTTAACTTTAGGGTTTAAAATTTAGCGACACGTTTTTCGAGAAAATAATTTTATATTATTTAAAAATTCTTGGTCGCCTCGACTCATCGAATTTTCCAATATGGGTTTTATAAAAGAAATTATTTATTCGTCATATTTTGATTGTTATTATGATATACAAGTTCAACTGATGACGGATATTCCTTTAAAATATTCGTTTTTGTGGCTCACCTGACATTGGACATGTATACCTAATACCATTGTGTTTATATTCCACATACAAACATCAGTACAGCTGATCAATGTACCTGCATCTCAATTTTATTCCAGTTAAAATATTTAGGGATATTTATGTTTGAGAATTGTAAACCCTAATTCTATTTCACTGGGAGATCAATTTGAAGAAAGAAGAATAAACAACTTAGCAATCCCCATGGAGACCTCACTGCGGAGGTCAATCCACGACCAATTCCATGTGTGACAATATTTAGGATCAGTAATAATTAGGCTCCACAACTTAACAATTTGTATCTTTAACAAGTCCTATCTCGCACAAACGGCAAAATGTCTGATACATAACTTCTATCATAATAAAGTGGCAGACTTCAATATATCTCCAAAAATTGAGTACGGGTAACCGTCCCCTTGTAGCTAGCATATGCCCTCACTTTATTTCAATCTAAACTGCATATAGCCCATATTTAGAACAACTCTATGAAACCAGTAACTTTCTACCATGTGAACTTGGTGGAGCTTTTATGGAAAGTAGCTAATTAGAATGCACCTTAATTCATGTTTGGAGAATTGCACTGGACCATACTTGAGAAATCCATGGACAAACATGTCACACACCTCTTTTCGGTTTGGACAAAACGTAAGGGCTTGGGGTAGTCCAAAAGGATTAAAAGGAATAACTCAAGAACTTGTATGTTGATTATTAAACAAGTAATAAAGTGATGAAGAGTGTCGAATCCTACGAGAATTGCCTACTTACATTTAAGCGATTTAAAACTAGTTGATTGAATTGTTAAGGACACATGTACAAATTGATTTGGTTATTTTATCAAATTGATTAAGCGATGAGTAACCAACATAATTAAAGCAGTCAAGAGTAAGCTTAAACTAACTTCGAGGAAATTTGAATGTGAGAAAGTACTGGTACAATTTTAACTCCAAATAATTTTCACTCTAATTTCTACATGAAGTTCTGGGTCATATTTGCTCATTTTGACGATCAATTCCCCTTCAATGTTTGAGAATCTCTCTTGAATATAGTCGATTCTATTGTGATGTACACGTTTCCTATATCTCTATGAGAATTAACAAATATGAAATAATGTATTACTTACAATCAAGCATGATCCATGATCGCATACACCAAAGCGCATATCTCTATTTGCTATCGAAATCTAAGTGGGCTAAACACAAATTTCACCTCTCAATCTCAACGTGATTCTCAACCTTATCCTGAAATTGGTCCACTAATAGGAAAACAATTATCGCAATAACAAGCCTTCAAACACTAAGAAAAAATTTCACATCTAAACCAATATCATATAATTTAAAGCTTCAAACTAAATCTACATCATCATCCTATTACAAAAAGTTTTAGCCCATAATGTGAAAATGAGAGAAATACAAGGGTTCTAGAAATTGAGCTTTTATACTCTTTTTCCCTTTGAATCTCCTTAATTTTTCCAAAGATTCTCTTATATTTTCCTCCATTTTTCTCCTCCTTGTTGAGCCTTCTCCAATCTCCTCTGAAAACCTCTTTGATAAGCTAGAAAAATGGTATTTAAAGGTCGTGTTGTTGCTCTAGAGTTGTGTCTTTTGGAGTTCCAAAAATGCCCTTAAATTTTTTGCACAACATTGTACCAAAATTACTCTTGGGGAAGAAAGAAATTAGAACAATACAAAGCACCAACGGCACCATGATTTTTGACCTCGTATTGTCTTCTTTTTTATCCTTAAACTTCTGGTCTTGGATCTAAACCACAACTTGATTACTTGAATCATTTTGCATCACCTACCCTTGAAGTCCTTGGTCTTCCTCCAAACATGGATTGTTTCAAAAAAGTAACAAAAACAATGAAAAACTTAGTAAATAACCAAAAAATCGACTAACATTTATATACGTTGACTGCCCTGAGTGTAAAAGCAAATAAACTCACTAGTTTAAGAAACAAAGAAAATTTATTTAGCAACCGGTTGAAATGGTGATCATCGCTTTGCAAATAAATACAATATAGCCCATATAGGTTAAAAACAAATGTATGTCAAGGCAAAGAGAGAAAAAGGCAGATAAACTGTGTAGAACTCGGATGAAAAAAGCTATAATTAAGCTTATATAGCATTTTCAAGAAAATGCCTGTTGAGAAATGGTTTGACACTTTTGCTGTCACAAGGTTGCTTATTTTTGTATCCATAATCATGTAATTTAAGGACAATGGTTGGTAGTATAACTTTTGTAATACTTTACAAGTATGGCCTTGTGTATAGATGTCAACTAGTTAGCTTATAGTAGGTAAGGAGTTGTTGACAAGCATGTGTTTTTATAAAAAATATATATTCAGAAATGTAATGAATCATTGTTTAAGCTTTCATTCTCTTTGAACCAACAATACTTCATGGTATCAAAGCACCCTTGATCTTAGAAAGGAACCGTGAAAGAAAAAAAATAGAAGAAGAAGCAGATTAGCAAGCTACCTTTCATCAGTAAGCCGGTTGATTTGAGAATAAGAGTAATGGCTTCAAGTGGTTTCTCAGCACCTTTACCTTCAGCCTTTACAGGTGAGAACTACGACTTCTGGGCAGCAAAAATAAAGGCATATTTGAAGGCTTGTGACTTGTGGGAAATCACTGAATCAGGAGTTGAACCTTCACCACTTAGAGCAAATCCTACAATTGCTCAGTTGAAGCAACACAGTGAAGAGGTTGCAAAGAAATTCAAAGCTCTCTCTTGCATTTAGCCTGCTGTCTCTGATGCAATTTTCACAAGAATCATGACTTGTGAAATTGCAAAGGAAGCCTGGGATAGTTTAAAAGAGGAGTTCCGAGGCAATGAAAGGATGAGAAAAATGCAAGTGTTGAATCTTAGAAGAGAGTTTGAAACTTTAAAGATGAAAGATGCTGAAATTTAAAGGAATTCTCAGATAGGCTGATGAAGGTGGTAAACCAAATAAGATTGCTGGGTGATGATCTTGCTAATAAAAGGGTTGTGGTAAAAGTTCTAATCAATTTACCTGAGAAATTTGAGGCAAAGATCTCATCACTTGAAGACTCAAGAGATCTTTATTCAATAACTCTTGTTGAACTAGTAAATACACTTCAAGCCACATAGAAAATGAGGATAATCAGGCAGGAGGAGCAAATTGAAGGAGCTTGTTTGCAAAAGGAAAATACAAAGCTCAAAAGAGTCTTGGAATGATGAAACATCA